CGAGTAAAAATTTGAACCTGTTGCTTAAGGTCGTAAGGATCGGCACCTTTGTCCTTCATATCAGCAGTCTTAGCAGCTTCTCTCTCAACCTCTTTCTCATAAGAGTGAAGCTCTTTCACAATCCTTTTACAAGTTGATGTTTTTATCTTCAAGTTTCTTATCGTTGCCATTGTCTCAACAAACCCAGATCTGAGTCAGTTCAAAGATACAACACCCAGAATTAGGGTTTCTACATTACCACCGAACGCATCGATTTAACTAAATTGCGATTCCCATAGAATCAAATTCGAATTCCAATCTAAAATCCAGACTTGATTCCGATGGAAACAAAAAGCTATTAACATCAATTGAATGAAAATTAGGGTTTAGAAACGAACCAGTCGACGATCGAAGAAGAAGATGATGATGAGGGAATCTGAGAGAGAGAGCAGTGGGAGAAATCCAACAACAATAAACCCTCTCGACTCGTAGCCCTTTCCCCTTATGTTTTTTTTTTAACCCTTTCTTTCTTCTATTTCGCGAATCCAGGCCCATTTCTTTATCTTTTTTTTTGTTTTACTTCCAATATTCATTTTTCTTGTAAAGAAAACACTTTATTACTTATTTACTAGATTAGTAAAATTTTAACAAAATTTTCATGAATATACCAAAATGAAAAATTTAAGGTACTTCCTTGTCTTACAAACAAAGGTACTTAAGTTGCAAGGATGACTTTGCAAAGTCTCTAAGACTGTTTTCAAACAAAATACAAAAAGAAAAAGAATATTCTTTTCTTCAATAAAAAATTATGCAATCTAAGTCGTCGATTTTCAATAAAATCGGATTACTCATATTAAAGAGGTGAAATGTTACTAAATGCTTTTGATACAATCTCAGCCGTTCAAGCTTATTAAAATCTAACGGCTTAGATTGATAAAGAGTTTGTCAGATCAAAAACATATTGCAAGGCTGTGATTTGACGCAAGTGGATGGATTATTGATTTTGGCTAATGGTTATCATGGAAAATTTACGTGTTCAATATATCGTGGATATCTAATGGATCAATAGTTTCATGGATAAGTTACCGTCTCAGAAAGTGGAAGGAGATACAAGATGCTTACGGTATTGTTTCAAGAAAAAAAAAACTATTTGCGATTAGTGCACCCCATAAGCCCATTATCTTCAACTTTAAAAGCAAACCACCCGATACCGGATGCGGGATCAAAATCCTTCCAAGATCCGTCAATGTAGCATTTCACACCTTCATATGTTAAAGGGTTTGTCGTTGACCCCATAGCTAACGATCGGGGTGAT